AGTCCAGCAGGGTCTGAATATGACTAGAGAGCAGGTAACTGAGGAGGAGTGCAGGTAAAGGTGCTTGAGGATGAGGAATGTACGGTACTGAGAAACTAGGATATTGACTAGTTGTCCACCTGGATAGAAAGTACCTCTGGATCTTGGGAAGACTTGAGAGGAAAAGCACACGGGGTGTTTTGTGAGTGGTTGGGGATAGCTAAAGAGCAGAATCAGATTCTGGAAATGTGGGGAGAAGGAAAGTTCAGGGTAGGAAAGAAGAAAGGAGAGAGAGAATTAAGGGCACTAATACAGAAACGAGAGCTGAGAAAGCATCCAAGATAAACTTTGTCATCTTGAAATATTTTGCCTGGAGTTGACCATGAATATTACAGTATTTACATGGTTTCTTAGCAAAATATGCAAGGATACAAACTCTTTTTTTCCAATTGAGAAATTAAAAGACATATAGGAGGATAACCTGCAGAGCTCATTTAAGCTTGCATTTTGTCTGCACTCAACAAAAGCAAAATAAATCCATTATCTGAACTAAAAAAAAAAAAAAAAAAAGGAAGTACCTCTGGATGGAAGCAGGTTGGGAGGCAGAGAAGACTGTGAGCCAGATGCCATCTTCTATACACCAGGCGTGGGCACTGGGCTAACTACTTATTTGGAAACTGACTTTAAGAATGCTAACTCAGGTATGTGTTCAGTAATATTTGTACAAAGGAATCTCAGGTGTTTCCCGAATCGACCTCTGTACAGAGTGATTTCCTAGTACTTTCTCCCTATCCTCTCGCCTCTGTCCCTTCCCAATAAATATTGCCTTTCTTCTGCTTAAACTTTAGGTGACTGACAAGGAGGTATAAGGTTAATGAGACCAGGAAAATATACTTTAGAATGTGAAAATGCCTTCATCTATTTTTTCACTTCCCCTTCTAACCTCTACTACCACCTTGAAATTTCTTTACATCCATTTGGGTAGAATAATGTATCTACCTATCAGCAGATGAAAATGTCTCTCTGGTTCTTTTACAGTCAGGCATGTGATGAGGTGTCAAATTGGCATCATTCCCCTGAACTGATAAAGCTTCCGTGACTGCATACTGCCCGTGACTCCCATTCCTGGGGCTCCCACCTACACCATTTTAAAAGCAGGATGGTGGAAAGTGTGAACAGTCACTAATACTCCCTGTTTTCATCCCACCCACCTTGAATTGAAAGTGCCTTGCATTTGTAATGCATGGATACTTAATGTATAGAATTCAGGGTCTCCTGAATTAGAAGAATTATGTCACAACATCCAATTTTATAAAATGAAACTGCTACTTCTACACTGATCACTCCAGCAGTTATAAGTCCATTTTGGGCAAACTTACAAATTTTTTAACACATTTCATTTCTTCTTTAATTCCTTAAATTCTTTCCATAACGTTTTCTTTTCCTCCCTGCCTCCCTTCCTGAATTAGAATGTAGTTGAGGTATCAAGTGCTTTGCCTTAGTGCTGGGTCTGCAGCAACGTGATGGTTTCTATTTTCACCTTTTTCTTCCAGCCACACAAGGGCTGCCAAGGACGTGGCCTTTCTGTGTGCCCTGGCTGCCTCTCCCTGCCTTGTGCTTTTCCTGGCAGGCTGGCTGCTGAAATGCTTCCTTTAGGGAAAGCCAAATGGAACCAGAGAGCGGAGTACTTGAACACTGTTTCTCCCCCTGCCTGTCCCTCCTCTTCCTCACTCTCGTCTCCATTCAAGCATTAGTTGAACACTTACTGCTGCCAGGCCCCAGAGAGGCACCACGTTAGCCACTGCCCTCTGTGAACTTGGGCAACTGAAGCTCTCTTTGAGTCACATGGCAAAACTTGAGGAAACTGAGTCAGGTGATTTCTTGAGAATCCTTCCTATGTATGCATCTGTGATTTTTTAAAGAGTTGTTTTAGTGAATAATCTCTTGCTAACTATTTACTCTGCTCTAGATAATTTCTCCTTACATCTTAACATCCTTATGGTCCTTCCTGTTCCTCTTATCAATTGTTGCGTATTCCAAGAATATGAAGGTATTAAAATATCAAAGCAAATAAATTTTGGTGTATTATGTATGATGTGGAATATTATACATTCATTAAGGATGATACTTACAGCCCAGCCAGTGTGGCATCGACCTATGAACCAGGAGGTCACAGTTCAATACCCGGTCAGGGCACATGCCCGGGTTGTGGGCTCAATCCCCAGTGTGAGTCACATAGGAGGCAGCCGATCAATGATTCTCTCTCATCATTGATGTTTCTATCTCTCTCTTCCTCTCTGAAATTAATAAAAATATATTTTAAAAAAAGAATGATACTTACAAAAGCTTTTAATGACATGGGGAAATGTGTGAACTATATAATGTTAGCTAAAAAACAGACACATGCAGAGAAGAAAGCCTGGAACACCAGCAACTGTGTCATTTGTGAACACCTAGATTTTAACAAGTGGTTATTCTTGAAAGGTGGGGTTATAAACATGTAAATGTTCCTACTTGCTTTTATTTTTCAAAATAAAGAATACAGCCCTAACCGGTTTGGCTCAGTGGATAGAGTGTCGGCCTGCGGACTGAAGGGTCCCGGGTTCGATTCCTGTCAAGGGCATGTACCTTGGTTGCAGGCACATCCCCAGTTTGGGGTGTGCAGGAGGCAGCTGATCGATGTTTCTCTCTCATCGATGTTTCTAGCTCTCTATACCTCTCCCTTCTTCTCTGTAAAAAAATCAATAGAACACATTTAAAAAACAAACAAACAAACAAACAAAAAATAAAACAAAATAAAGAATACTATTACTGCCCTAGCCAGTTTGGCTCAGTGGATAGAGCGTTGGCCTGTGGACTGAAGGGTCCCGGGTTCGATTCCGGTCAGGGGCACATGCCCAGGTTTTGGGCTCAGTCCCCATTGGGGGGTGTGCAGGAGGCAGCCAATCAATGATTCTTTCTCATCATTGATGTTTCTATCTTTCTGTCCCTCTCCCTTCCTCTCTGAAATCAATTAAAAATAAATAAAAATTTGTGAAAAGATAGCTTAAAAAAAAGAATGCTATTACTACTATGTTTCTCTATAATAAAAATGAATACAGTTATTTAAAAACATATAGAAGTGATTGTTTTGGCAGCAAAAATTTCAGTATGTATGCTAATGTCAAACTTGAATACTTTTTAAAATATGTTTTGCCTTGAATTTTTCAAATCTGTGCATAACATTGCTTTTTCTGAATTCCAAGCTTAGGTAACTAGTCAAATTCCGGTGCCTTTATGAGAAAGGATAATCTTAAAATACTCACTTTAGAAAAATCTGAAGGCATTGAAAAGGGAAAAGGAAGGACCTATATAATTTCTTCATCTGTCAAAACTGCACAGTTTTATTTAGAGTCTTGCATTTATCAAGAGAGGTGAAAGCACAGGTCATCAAGAGGTCATTTCGGGAAAAGGCTCACAGAGAGCACAACTGCTGACCAGGGATGAGCTCACCACTTGAAACAGGTGCGATGAGTTTGCTCAAGCACGATTTGGGATATCGGATCACAGACTCGGGAAGGCCACAGATGCCAATTGGTGCAAGTAAAATACCTACAAGAGAAGGCACTCCCTCCATGTTATGGAAGTGGAAAATCCATAAGAAGCAAAGCATCTGGTCAATGCTTATGTAGTGTGACTGAAGTCCATGCATTTCCCTCAATGGAGGGGGGCAGAAAGAAAATGCAGAAATGGCCAGTAGCTGAGGGAGCCTAGAACTCACTCTGGTTTCTGGGAGAGCTATTAGAGAAGGTGTTTGATCTTCTCTGGCTAATCACCTATAAGTCAATCCAACAGGTTTTGTAACAGGGCGACAGGTCATTTTGTAACTTGACATTCAGAATTTTAGAGGCACAGTTAGGCCTCCAGAAGGCATGGACTTTACATGTGTCAGTTATAGAGGGAAAAATCGACTGTCAGTTCATTTGGCCCATGGAACTAACAAAAGATTTCCTACAGGGCTGTGCTAATTAAAGTGTGGTCCTTGGACGTGCAGCACTGGCATTTCCTGGGAGCTTGTTAAAAAGCAGAATCTGGAATCCACCCAGACCCACTGAGGGAGAATCTGCATTTTAACAAGATGCCCAGGTGATCTGTAGCTACACTAACGTCTAAGGAGCAGCTGTGTGATAGGCCACAAAACATACAACCTACACTTTAAGCTCCTCTAAATTCTTCTGCCTCCTACCTGTTTTCAATATATTGGAAAAAATATATATTTTTTACTGTGGCAAAGATGTATCCTCCAGCTAAAACTGTGTGTGTGTGTGTGTGTGTGTGTGTGTGTTGCCCCCCAGCTAAGGTACTCAGAAGCAACGTGACATTTATAATTTCCTTTTCAAACTGAGTTTACAAAGGCAAGAATTTTCTAAATTCTTTACTGCTTCTTGTCATTTTAAGCAAATTCTATGGTTAAAAGAGATATTACCATAGATTTCTAGATTTTTGCTCTCTGCCTTTTCATATTATCTGGGAAAATAATTTTCCCCTACACTTATTCCCTTAAAGTCATTAGGAGAAATTCCAACTATTTTTTCATTGAGGCTTCTCATTATTGACATGGGGGATGGTGTTTTGCTCTCTGGGTTGAAAATGTGCTGGTAGTGTGCTACATTGCTAAGAATCCACTGAGGGGTATACGGCCTATCCAAGCCATGGAAGGAGTTCAGGAGGCACAGACCCCATCATCCCATGCAAGGCTATCCTTGCCTTGAGAACACTTCTCTTCACAAATGAGTGACCAGTATCTAGTCCATTGATGCCACCATGGACTTCACAGTATCAGGAAAACATGTACTTCAATTTACCCTTGACCAAGGAGGGAAAAGGCCAGAATACTTTGAGGGAAAACTTATAGATAAATTTAAGTAACAATTACTGTAAAAAAGGATGGAATTGTCCTATAAACACCTGGATTAAGTAAAGAGGTAGAGGACATGTACGGCTGAATCTAGGTAGGGTCCTCTTTGCAAGTTCAGTCTTACCTGATTGTCGAATCCGTTGAAGAGTTTGCTGCACCAGAACCTCTGATCGCGGGACAATGATGATGAAGTCCACTTTGCTGAAGTGGCCGAGGTCCAGGCTCTGGCTGCCGCTGTCTGCTATAGCACACACCTGGGATAAGAGCTTTCTGGCAACTGTAAGCTGTGGTTGATAAATTTGGAAGGTTTCATTATCTATATCTAAAATAAAAAAAGTTATAGGAAGAAGATTAATTCACTTCTGTGATGGCCACTGTGAATCCATAATGGGGACATACCACACACACACACACACACACACACACACACACACACAGTAAAATAATGCTCTATCACGAAGAGCTCTCGCTTTCTACTTTTACTCTATTGCATTTAATAAATTTGTCTATTTTCCCTGAAAACTTGGTTGAAAGGACATGTTCAAGAGTGGATGTGGTAATTTTACAAATGTATTATTTTAAAATCAATTGTTTCATAAATCACTAACTCAGCACTCTTCCCCCACCCAGAAATGGGGAGGAAGTGGGGTACAGACCACATTCTCTCAGCTGGAGCCAGGACTTATCTCTTAAAGGGGAGGAAAGAGTTTCCAGTTTTCTTTAGGAATACCAGCTCAGGTTAGGTGCCCTCGTTCAGCGAAGGAGGCAATGTCCTAATCATAATAATGCTGAGTTCCTCTGAGCTTTTCTGGGCGGCACCACAGTAAACATTTCCTCTCTAGCAAACCCATTGCAACATGATTTAAAATACTCTTCCCAGTGACTGCCTAACATAGGTCACGAAGACACCACCTTCACCTTTTTCACACTTAACTTTGCCAGTGCTTGTGACCTGGCAGATCTAGGTGATTGTGGTCAACTCCAGTGCTGACACCTGTACTATCTGAAGAGACTCATGACACAGCCAGCTGGCCATTCAATTGGTGACACATTAGAAAAACATTGCCCAGATACTCTAAGTATGTCAGTAGCTTTTTATTACAAGTTATAACCAAGCAATCAATCTCTCTTATATGTGCATGCATGCACGGACACAATGAGACAGGCTTAGTCAGCTAAATGTCTGAGCAGGCAACATCCAGTATTTCTTGAAAAGGCTACTTTTTATCAGAAACACATGTGGAAGTCTCACTGGCACATACAATGGCCCCAATTAACTGGTGCTAATTAATACTCTCTAAAATCAAACTGCAACACGGTCAACACAAAGATGGTAGTCCTTCCTGATACTTCAGCCACCACAGAATCCTGACAGTGAGTGCAGGTTTATACAGGTGGGCGGGTCTCCTACTGGCTGAGAGAACCCACTAGAAAAGCCCATAGCTGCCACTTTTAATAGTAGCCCCAAAAGTTTCTGACCCACAAAGATTACCAATCAAAGTAAGTCTGTCTTCTGATCACTAGGTCATTTCCCCCCCTTCATTTCACAGATTAAATGGGTGGGGACTTCCGTAGGTAATGGGATAACTTTGAAAAATTTAACATAGCAAATTTTGAAGTTTGAAGAAACCTACCAATATCTTTAAGCAATGTTTCTTAAACAGAGAATCAAGGATATGTATGTAGGAATTTGTAAGTTCTCTGAGAATTTATAAATTCTAACTTTGTTAGTAATTCAAAACAGTATAAATACATTTTAGATCATCTCAATGATCACCTGATTATCAAATAATGTCTAGAAGTAAAAAAAAAAAAATTGTATTGCCTGTATTTGCATTGTTTTTATGGCTGAACTGATGCTAAGCCATGCTACTTTCACTGCTGTGGCGATCCTAATATCTACATGATGTAGTCCTATCAAGTGGAGGTCAAAAGGCTGTCAGCAGCAGCTTCTGTGGATCTGTTTTATATCTATGTTTTCTCCCGTTATTTCCCCCCGCCCCCCATCCTTTCCTATGATGTCCCTACCACACGGGCAATTGGGGGAATGAATCTGAACCAAAAGGAATCCAATCTAATGACTGAACTCCTCACCCCTGGTCCCACCATTCCCCTTTGCGCCCAGGGAGTTTGTGATAAGGCAGATGATGTTTTGCTATCGCTGCTACATCTGCCTGGAAGGCCTCGTGATCCCTGATTATGTGTCTTACATGTCAGAGAGTAAACGAAGGTGATGGAGAGCCAGCCCTGCACAGACTGCGGTCTAGACGCTTTCAAGCAGTTCTTTGAAGGCCTCTGCACACCGATAGCTTTCTGGGCACAGCTGGTGGAGCTAAGGAAAGTACACCAAGGACCCAGGCATCTTTCCAGGAAAAAGGAGATAATGCTTAAAATAAAGTGTTTGGCTTTGATTTAAATTCTAGGACATATTTACTAAGAACAAGGTGTTTGATCCAGACCACTCGGAAAGGCATTTTTAACCCAAGCCAGATTTATCATGTAGTTAATGATGAAAAGCCTGGTACAGTCTGTGATGTGAAGATGAGACTTCAAAACCCTCAGAAGGACTTAGTCTCTATAATGTCTGGCCTGAGGGCTGGTTCCTGCTTTTGGTCCAAGGTGACATTACCCAGGTTTTGCGTGGGAATCATAGCAGCAGCCTCCTGAGGTGACACATATTCATGAAGGTCACCATTGAAAGGGGTAACAACACTGTCTCCTCTTCTTTGTTGCATTTTTTCTAGCAGCTTGTCGAGGTCATCGCCTATTACAAAATAAAGCGGAGATAAGAAGATTGCAAGGAATGATGTGTTTTCACCAGGCTCCAGGTAGGGCAGTTAAGCTAGGTTCTCATCGAGGTTGTCAGGCAGCCAGCTTTTTAGATCCGAGGTTACACTTGGCCAACCCTGCAGCAGCGTCTCCTTAGCCAGAGCCACCCTCCTTTATATCATGCTTATAGTTTATACGCGTTCACATGCTCTATCTCTCTGGACCTCCATAATACTAAAAGCAGGCAGGATGGGATCATGGTATCTCCACTTGACATTAAAAACCCGAAATCTGGAGAGAGAAATTGTCACTCAAGGTCAGATAGCAAAGCGGAGGCTGAGCTGAGGCCTCCCATTCTGGTACCCCCAAGCCCCCGACAGGCACAGAATACTGAGGAAAAGCCATTCCAAATGAAGGGAGGATGAAGGGAGCTCAGCCGGCAAGCTTAAGTCCTACACTTATCTCCTTGACAGGCTAAGATTTAAATTCAGAAAATCACACAGCCAGGGTTGGTGATGTTGCTGAATCCTACGACCACTCACCTAATGATGTGGTTTTGAAATGCGATGCCAGGAAACTGACCTTTCCTGTGATGAGCTCATAACTTATTTCTTTTAGAAACTCACTTGTGGTGAGCATGCTCTCTGCCAGAGCTCTGGACTGATGCTGACCTGCAGAACAGAGAGAGAGAAGATGATGTGCCAGTGAACAAATGTTCCCTGGGACATGATTTATGATAGCGAAAATTGGCAACAACTAAAGCATATAATGATAGGGACTTGGTTAAAGAAATTTCGGCACATCAAAAGATGGAAAATTACACAGCATTTGAAAGGACAATTCTAAACATAAAATGTTTATAATATGATGTTAGGTGAGAAAGAGAAAAAATGACATTTCTTATGTTTCTAACTGTGAAAACATACCAGGCCTGTGTTTAAAGACTAGGGAGGAAAAACCTTTAAAAATTGTGTTTACATGGTTCTGATGAACATCTGTCTTAAAATATAAACTTATGTTGTTAAGTTGATTTAAAAAATAATAACAAAAAATCTTAATGTATTACACTTTCTGAAAGAGACATATATCATGGAGAGATGGGAAGGCAGGTTTTGTCAAAGTGAGGGGGCTTGGTCTCTTTGGTAGGAAGAGCTGAGAGCCACTCACTAGAGAAGAAAAGCAAAATTTAGTCCAAATGGCCACTCAGGATGGTACCTGATAGAAAATCAGCATAGGAAACAAAAACACATTTTGTAATGTACAACTTTCTGAACCATTTACCGAGAGTCAACATTACAATATTAAATATACTCTTCAGCGAGGAGGTGAACACATGAGCTAAGTTCCTGGCAAATCTGGTTCACTGACTTAGGCCACCTGTGGCATGGCATTATCACATGCTAGAGTGATAACATTTCCAAAACTTTTTAAGAAGAGAAGTTACATGAGACAAGGGTATCTGTTACGCGGGTATGCTTTGAAATAATGCCCCCACCACCAGCTGACAGGGACACCAGCCAAACTAAGGCCTACAAAAATCTGATCTGAGTAAAGGAGAAGTTAAAATTAGGAGGAAGAACCCAAGTGGGAGCACTTAATCAGAGATTAATTGCATGAATGCCTGAAACACCCAATAGCTATTTTTCAAATGGACAGATGATTGAATGAGTGGGTTAAAACAAAAAAATCACAACAAAAAAATTACTCACCTAATACTACCACACAAAATTCATTTCCTCTGATTTTCGATGCACAAATTGCCACCACATAATCTGGTAGCCTTTGATAGTGTCTCATTTCACTGAGAGTCCTCAATGTCTCTGAAATGCCCTCTGCCAAAGAGTTCTGGGTCACAATCACATGAACCAAGTCTTGAGATACGCTGGCAATTAATCTAGCCAGCCAGGGGAGTTGGCCTGGCGACACAGGTGTACACTGAGCACCCATCTGCAGGGCTCGCTCTCTCAGAGTAAATTCCTGCATAGCTTTCAGCATAATTTGCTCAAATTCTTCCCTGAGAGGTATCTGATCAGGACCTAAATTGAAGAGAATTAGAATTTTTTTTTTTAAAAAAAATCACAGCTAGAAAAGACAGACAGACATGAACGTGCAATCCTTTTAAGCCCACCATACCTACTCCAACTGTCAAATAAGCGTTTTCCTGTAGTGGCCATAAGAATAGAGCCCCTGCCAACCATTTTCCATTGTGAAATTACCATCTCTCTTCTCTGCCTACCTCAATATTTTTTATACAGTTTATTGATTTCAGAGGCAGGAAGGGTGAGGGAGAGAGAGATAGAAACATCAATGATGAGAGAGAATCATCGATCGGCTGCCTCCTGCACGCCCCCTACTGGGGATTGGAGCCCTCAACCTAGGCAGGTGCCCTGACAAGGAATCGACCCATGACTTCCTGGTTCATGGATGGATGTTCAACCACATTGGATGGGCTACCTCAATATTTTTTTTTAATGCAGGGTTTTGTTCTCCTTTATTCTAATCTTGATATCTTTAAAAGAGGTTGTACTCAGACATAGTATTAATTCTATTGTACGCCTTAGGAGATAGTCACTGAAAGTGGTATACTGCCTAACCTATGAAAGTTGGCATTATGTAAATGGTTAATGACTAATGAAGTAAGAAGCTAACCTATTGATATACTATAATCAACCTTAGGTTTCACTCCTTTCTCATTGTATTCATAGGTATTATGTAAAAAACACTTTCATGTATTGCCTCTATACCTAATTTTGAGAATACTGTCTACAGGAAAATAAACTTTAATTCTTTTCACTCCCAATTTACATTTAGGCAGCCTCACCCTTTCCTCAGATAGAAAATGCTCTCATCACCTAGTTATTCCTCAGTATTCTGGGTTGCTAACTATGGCAGGCAGCCTTTTCCACCACCATGGTTGTGGCTAAGCTTCTACGGGTGACCTGTGGCCTCTGGAATTAGGGGGATTCTGTTTCTCTTATTCTCTTTAGAAACTCAACCAGACTTTAGGACAAAATAAACAAGTCAATGTTTGGCATCCAAATGACACAAATGAATTCCTACATTTAGTTTAAATTAAAACCAATGAGACTACGCTCACTTCTGCTATTCAGTCTTTTTTTTTTTCTTTCTTCTTTTTTCTGTGTAGATGTTTTAAACTCAGGCTCTAGTAAACAGATACAGACTCCTTAGAGCAGTGATGGCGAACCTATGACACGTGTGTCAGAGGTGACACGCAAACTCATTTTTTTGGTTGATTTTTCTTTGTTAAATGGCATTTAAATATATAAAATAAATATAAAAAATATAAGTCTTTGTTTTACTATGGTTGCAAATATCAAAAAATTTCTATATGTGACACGGCACCAGAGTTAAGTTAGGGTTTTTCAAAATGCTGACACGCCGAGCTCAAAAGGTTCGCCATCACTGCCTTAGAGTCTGTGAGATCAGGCAATGGTCTCAGAACTCAGGGCTAATAGTCCTTGTGAAAAAAATACAGGGATAAGGGACTGGATTTCTGTAGGGGAAGGAGGCAATGTGAGTGAGTGAAAGGTTGAAGTGGCCTACCAGTACCTTTCCATCTTCTCTGGGAAAGTAAGAAAATGAAGGTTTAGTAATACTTTTAGGGTAGAAAAATTAAATAAAATATTACACATTTTAAAAATAAGCAATCTTAATTGGAGAAAATAGTTTTTCCAGGATTGGGTGGAGGCCAGAGGAAGGTAGAAGGATGAAATCCTAACAGATTTTTCTCTTCTATACATGGAAAGAGGGCCACAAAATTGCAACGCTGACATTGTGCTTGTTTCCTTTGTCCTCCACAATCAGTTTCTAGGGGGACGTAGATGCCTTCTTATCACCTAATCTTTATTTACTTTATCAAATTAGCATCACGGTTAGTGGTCACTAGGTACACAGTTGGTAGTGAGCTCAAAGTGGAGAGGTTTGCATTGACTGTGAAAGGAGTGAAACCTGGGGAATAACTAGGTGATGACAGCATACTCTAGCTGGGGAAAGTGAGAATCTGTCTAAATATAAATTGAGAGTGAAAAGAATTAAACTTCATTTTCCTGTGGACAGTATCCTCAAAATTAGGTATAGAGGCAATACATGAAAGTGTTTTTACATAATACCTATGAATATAATGAAAAAAGAGTGCAATGTAAAGTTGATTATAGTATACCAGAGAAATGATGGCTTAAACTGTCTCCGATTTCCCTACTGCCTCTCGTAGACACCCTGAAGGCTCAGAGGCCTGGTTAATAGGTGTGTCCATAAGACTCACTCCAAACTGTGACTAACATGTTCAATTAGGCAGCATAATTAAATCCAAATATTAAGGCATTCTGGGAAAATAAAATCATTGAACATGTTCATAGCATTCTCCATGGCCTTAAAACTCACGTTTATAGAGTTTTGACTGGATTACTATTAGGAATTGAGAAATGGAAAAATGTATAAAAGTTTCATGAGGTAAGAGACTTCTTAAATTAAAATGCCTTGCTTCCAATCACCTGCTACTATTTCATCCTCAGCCTTTATAGCTCAATTGCAGGAGCCTTTCCTCTACTTTTCACAAATTTAATAATAGAATTTGTTCCTTCAAGTGCTGATCTCCAGTAACTCAGCTTAGCTCAGGCATCAGTTCTGATGGCTTTTCAGAGAGAACTACTTCAATAGGAAAAGACAAGGTTCCAACAGACTCAGCCATCCCAGAATCTCTGGATTTGCTGGTTTCACTATCTACTTCAAACGATTTTCAGATTGTGAAATAACAGAGATTTTTTTTTAAAGTGACTGTAGCGGAAAGGCCTGCTCCTTCTGAAGAATCTTGCTTTTCTTCCTGTTACCTCCAAGTAACTGAACCATCAAATTTTTAGATTTGCTTTTAGAAATTTGGATTTACTTTTCAAAATGTCTATCTATAATCTACAGCATATGTGAAAATATTATTGCCCCCTTTTTCAAAACTTCGGAAGGCAAAAATATTTTTCAGTGACTCCAGATGAGTTAGTTGTTGAGAAGAAGCAATGTCCCAACATACACAATTTAGATTAAAAAAAAAAAAGAAATTGTTATTCATCTTGCACATTAAAAGATATAGTTAATTGGCTGTAAGTAAAAGCTAGAGAGAACTGATCCTGCAGGGTGAAGAAGAGTTTTATGTAATTGAATGAAAATTTTCCTATTTTTTTAAGACAGGAGCTTTTAGTTATTTAAGGGAAGACATTTTTGTTTTGACCATTTAGTTCATTTGGTTAACTTCAATTTTTAAACTATCATTAAGACCGAAAAAAATGCTTTCCTGATTGCCTTGGTTTGTTAAAATAGCATTACTCTATTTGTCCTTGTTTTACCAATTCTGGGTATATCTAAAGCTCATTTTAATCTTGGAATACAGTCTAAAGTCTGTACATACAAATTAAAATTATGATATCAAATGGGCTGCAGACATAGGTGGTTTTTATAATTTTATTACCCACTAATAAGCATGATTTACAAGTCCTAGGTTTATCATGAAAGTGGCTCATGAGATATCTGAAGCCTTGCAAGTTTCAAAAGCCCGTGTCAAAGCAGATCCCAGGTTAAAGCAGGTCTTTGAGCTCTCAGGGCACCAAGAGTTGCAGTCAGGAATGCTAGCTGATACCCCAAAGACCAAATCTGGCCTGCTGAAGCTTTCTTTTTCTTTTAACACCATTGAGCCCAGTGTTTATTATTCAACACAAAAATATTTTAAAATATGAAATAATTCACAAAAGTGCAGATAAAAAATTTTTAGATGTAATTTTACACCTTGAACATCTTCCTAAGTAAATCAGTGGCTTGAAGTCCTAGTGTGAGTATATAATTAGGCTGCATGTTAGATGGCCTACTGCAGTTTGCAAAATAAAGGACATTGCAATGTAAATGATGCTGAATCACTATAGTATTGTCAAAGCACCTGCATACACCCACTGTGGGGCTCAGAGGAATTATCAAATAGAGGAAGTGAAGGGTTCATGACCTATGTATCCCCCTTACCCTAAAGCCTAAAGAGCCTTCTAAGGTGGTCTAGTTACTACCTCAAAGAAGGAAAAAAGCATTATGGGACTACATCAAAGAGGTATAGCTAAAGAAGAAAAAAATGGGTGTAGGAATAGTGGATAAACAAGATAAAAAGACTAAATGGAAAACTGAAAAATAATTTCCAATGGCTACATTTGCATTCCAGATGGTAGCTGCACTTTCAGAAAGGTCATTTGGCCAAGGAGGGGTGCTCATGCCTCAGCCCTTTGAGGTTCTGTCATTAAATACTTCGGAGACTTCAGATCCATCACGAGACTGAACACTAGGTGGAGCAATTTACCTCTCCTAGGACTCCAGCAAAGCAAAGACCCGGGGATGCTACATCTGAGAGAAATGGGGAAGAAAGAAAAAGGAAATAGGCAAGTGGTGGAAAGGGGGTAAAATGAATAGGAAAGAAATGGAGCAGAGGAAAGGGGAAGTCACAGAGAATTGAAGGAAAAGATTGTTAGAAGTGAAAGAGGGAAAGTAAGAGATAGGCAGAATGCGAGAAAGTGGAGAATGTCACAAAAAAGAATAAAAATTGTCAACATCAAGTGATTCTTGAAAATAACTTACCCAGCCGCACAAGATACTGTATTGTCAGAAGAATCATGTTTTCCACACTCAGGAGCTGGCTGCCAGTCAACCCTAACTGTTCCATATCTTTGTTTTCCAACTGTGGAATCTTGTAGCAATTCACCAGCAGAGGACTCACAACAATGTCACCAACATTTCCATAGAAATAGGGTAAAGTGCCATAGCCTGCCCCAACAGAAGCAGGTCAATAAAGTTCAATCATTCTGAGATCCAATCAGATACACTGGCTCAACTAGGATCAAAAATGCTTAACAAAGTCCTCTACTCTCTGAAATGACTACCAGACAAATCATTCAAGTATATCAATCCTAGGGAATTCACTCAGATGCTCCTAATCCTACCCTTACATTCAGCCAGATGAATAGGAAGCAAAATACTAAAAAATTATACTATCCCTGTTTCCCACAGAAAGGAGATGTTAATATCTGCCATAAAGGATCGATGAGAATTTGCAAAATATCTCTGTATCTTTTGTAAAATAGCAAGGATAAAAATATTTCCCCATAAAATTCCTGATCAAGTTTCTTTTCAGGTAAGTCAGAAAAGAAACAAACTATGATAACCTGTGTCACTTAAGGAGGCTTTTCTTGAAAAAATTTTAATTCATTGATCAACAGAAATATTCCACCATTCGCTGGTCATTGGAGGTTCCTCTCCTTTTGCTATCCTAGGTACTTTTATGTTCTGTTTCTAATGTCAATAAACAGTCTCAAATTATCTTAGAAGTAGATAGGACAAAAACATGTTAAAATATATACCCTGTTTTTGGTGGTGTAGTTGGAAGGACAGTCCCTCTGTGACTTTTTCTAAAAGGCAGACACCAAAGGGTCCCCAAGGCTTAATAACACTATGCATGCAACTCAAAAGCTCAGTAAGAACTTACTGATATATGGAATTTAAATAACTGGGATTTCCCCCAGGGGCTACGGGTCTAGGATCAGTGGATAGGGAAGTATGATAAAGTACAGGACTTGAAATAAAACCATTCATGCCAGTAGCCTCAAGCCAGCTGGCAAGGAACGGATAGCACTTCACGTAGACATACCCTAAATGCGTGAGGGGGATTAAATACCCTATCTGTTAAGTCCCAAAGGTAAAGTAAGCAGTCTCCTTCTGGTCTAGGTAGCCCCCAAATGAGAGGACTCTTGAGTGGGTGTGAAAGGCACTAAGTTGGTCTTAGAATCTAGGGACCCCTAAATGTCTATGCCTCCACTTACAGACAGCTTGGAAAGACTCAGACTCCTTAAAGATACTGATTCACAGATGCTTCCACATGGTCCAAATCTACAACTCTGGGAGCTCTTGGTTGTCCTGAGTGGGATCTATTAGCTGGTTCAGCTTGTTTCTTTTCTCTGTGGTTTGTCTCCCTTTAACTGAAAAGTCCCCTTCCCTGTCTTGTCCACTCTTGCCCACCCTTCAGGACCTAGCTGAAACATTACGTTTGAGAAGTCTTCTCAGACCCTTCTCCAGACAGAGTTAAGCTCCCTTTCCTCTGAGCTCTTGCAGTTCTGAGTTGTGAACCTCTACCAGCTCAAGTATCATAGAGTGTTGTAATTGTCATTTACATGACAGACTCCCTCACTACACAGTGTTCCTTGTGGGCCAAAAGACTGCCTTATTCCCAACTTCTAGTCACACGTTTAGTATAGCATGGAGCTGACCAACAAAAGCTGAAAGAATCAATAACTGGATAAATAAATATATTCATGAACACATGGATAAATGCACAAACAATGCAATGGAGAAGCACTTCTAAATTCCAGCTGACACAGACAGTTTGAAATTCCTTTGTCTTACCTATCAGAATTACTGGTCTAACGCCCGAGTTACTGAGCAGGTTTTCAGGAACAATTACAGTTTCCCCTGCAGGAATGGGTCGAGGCTGTAAAATTCCAGTTAATGGGGTCTGTGGAACTGGGGCAGATAGAAGGGACTCTGGAAAAAAGTAGTTTGACAAGAAGGATTAGACATGAAAGCTAAAGGCAATACAATTAAAGTAAATGTAGTATTAATACTTATAACATGGAAGTTTTAAAAGTTTAATAGTTTATTGTTGTTTTTTTCATTAAAGTAATTCATGCTTATTGTATAAAATTAGAAGTGAGAAAAACAAAAGGAAAAAATTTAATAATTATCACATTATCTGGAGATAACTACTATTTAGCATTTTTGGTAGTTTTTCCTTTTAGGAAGTCTTTCGGATTCTGTTTTGTATTTTATCTTTGCCCAGCAGAATATCAAGGAATATCTTCTCATTATAAAAAAATTTTAAAAGTATAGAAAAGTGTGAAGATCAACTCATCATTAATCAGTACTTCGTATAGGTAACTGCAGTAACATATTGGCACAATTCCTGTGTATATAGCTGTATCTCTTTGTGTTCTTGAAAATTATTTATTTCAACAAACTTAAATTTTAAAAGAACTACATCTATGTCTTAGAATTGTTATATTTACATTTGTCTATGTTTAGTATGGCAAGGTAGGTGAGCATTTGAACATCTAACTATAAGCACTGTATGGCCACAGCTTAGGTTAAAGAAGAACCAGTTGGTTTTTCAGGATCCTAGCCACAGACTGAACCATCCAGGCCAGAAATAAGTATGGGTCACATAAGGAACCAGATCATTGAAGGACACATCTACCACCACTGCTGGCAAAGCGAGTTTACTTGTGCTTTAGGATGGTGGGTTGGTAGCATCATGCCCTATGCAGAAAAGAATGGCTTATCAATACAATGGCTAAAACAAAACCAGATGGTGAATTAAGATCTGTTTTTGATAACACATGTGCTTCTAGTGAAGGCAGATGTGATGGGGACACATATTAGGTACTATCAATATCCTTACATAATATTGGACACAATGGCTGGTTAAGGAAATTTATCTTCAAGGGTGCAGGGAAAGAACATGAGTAGGAGATACTCTGCTAATTCAATAAAACTTAAAACCCATCATCTGTTGAAATCTTACCAGCTCTTGAAAGAGGGCGAACTGTAGGAACAGGTACAACTGAACCAGGTTGGGGGACAGGTGACCCAGGGTACCATCCCCGGTGTCGTTTCTTTGGTGGTCCAGAAGTGAACATGGTAGCTGAAGGCAAAAAAAGAAAGATGAGCCCTACCCTTAGCAGTGGAAGAAAGGAAATAAGCTAGAGAAATATAGAACCTTTAATCTGATTATACTCAGAAAGCATAAGTCACTCTTCTAGAGGTAAAGATAAAATTAGGAAAAGTCACACTAACAATACCACTAACATCTGTATGCTATTTTACAATGTACAGTTTTCCCCAGGTTATTTCATTTCATTCTGTCAACATCCCTGTGAGGTTGTAGGACACATATATTGTTATACTCATTTTGTAGATGGTGAAGGCTCAGATTTGCCCAGGGTCACAATAGAGAGGAAAGTCCATGGTTTTTCAAGACACTTCCTTATACATAGGTTTCAGCATTATTTCCTAGGTAAGTGCTTATTCTGTACAATCACCAAGATATTTAATCATTTCTGCTTACACCAATCATAATATTTTAAAACAGTGTATGAGAAGCTAAGAAAAATTTGAAAGTACACTGTCAGATAATTCATCATTCCAAACTCCGTAGCATTGAATTATTCTTCCGTAATTAAGTTGCATTATTTCAAAACTCTATTATACCTTGGTCTCCTGATGCATAGCTAGGTCTTGGTGACAAAGGGTAATTCTCTGGGCGGGCTTGAGTGGAGCTAGATGTACTGCTCTTCCCTCCTTGGCTACTGTTTCCATTGGCAGCATCTGTAATTCACAGGAGTAGACACTCAGAGTAGAGGCTGGGCAGGAAGGACACTGTTTTCTATGATGCTGAAGCCATGTGATAAACCTCACACTCTAGGATTGAAAGGAATCCCACTGACAGGATAGCCCAGTTAGATACAGCCAATTACAACCATCAGAATAATAAATTCAGCAAAGTGAAATATCACCTAAAAATCATCTTCTAGGACCCCAAGAGATCTTTTAGAACCATTTTCAGTGAAATCTTTGGAGATGGTAGATAGGAGAAAACTTTTTTTTAAAAACTTTGTATTATGGAAAATTTAAAACATATATGAAAGTAGGGAGAATAGTATAATAAGCTGTGTACCCACACCCAGCTTCAACACTCATCAACACTTTCTATCTCGTCCCCTCACTCCACATACACACATACATGCTCTGGATTATTCTGAAGCAAACTCTCTTATATCATTTCATCCATAAATACTTCTACATGTGCTTCTAAAAGAAAAGAACTCTTAACAAACAACTGTAATGTTATTATATTTAAGATGAACAATGATTAATAATTCCCTAATATCAAATATTCCACCAGTATACAAATTTCCCCAATTACCTTACAAATGGTTTTTTTACAGTTGGTTTGTTCAAACTGGGATTCAAAAAAGATCCACACATTGAATGTAGTTGTTCTGTCCCTTACACTTTTAATATATCGGATTCCACTTTTTTCTTTTTTACAATTAATTGCTGAAAATCTTGCAGAATTTCTCATTTTTTGGATTTTGCTGATTGGATATCCATAGTGTCACTTAACATCTTCTCTATTTCTTATAAACAAATCATTAGATATAGAGGCTTGCTCAGATTCGGGTTTGATTTTCTTTTAAGAGAGTCCTAACTCTTAAGTACTGCTGTATACTTCCATCAAGGGGCAAAGAATGGCTGGTTTTCTCTTATGATGTTAAGATTGATTGGGAGGTTCAAGAGTTGTTAGGCTAATTCTTGAATTATAAAGTTGTTCATCAGCCTTTCTTCTGATAGTTTTAGCAGCCATGAGATTACTGCCAAGATCCATAATTTAAGTTTTTAATCCTGCAAAAATTTGGATTCAGTTTATTCAAATCTATAATCTAACCTGGATAAATTGTGATGCCTAACTTGGAAAGTTTTCTTCTCATTCTTCTTCTACCTTGCTAATTGTTTCTTTTCCTGATACACTGGAATTCTTTTAGGATTCTATACTTAGTTCATAGCTTGCCTTACCCTACATTACTCCTCAGCTGATACTATTTACTCTGGTGATATTCATTACAAATTGGTGGCTCAACTTGATATTATACTATCAGTTCTGATTGCCCCCGTGATAAATTAAATGACTGTTGAACAGCTCTTCACTTGAATGCCTCATGGGTATCTCAAAATCAACATATCTAAAATCAAACTTTCAATCTCCTCCTGGGGAACCTGCCCCTTTTTCTGTATTCATTGTTTCAAGCAATGGCACCAGCATTAGCCCAGAAAGATGGATGTAAACCAAGACCCCTTTTGCTTCATCCTCACTTTAATCAGTCGAGTCCTGACGATTTTCCTTCCTGAGTAGTTGTCCAATCTGTCTCCTCCTCTCCAACCTATTATTTCCCTGGTTAAGGACATCATCATTTCTCACTTAGATTACTGAAACGACCCCCAACTAATTTTCCTACCTCTTGTTTTCTTGGCTGTCAAAATGATCTAGCTCAGGTTCAAATATAACCATGTCACTACTCTGTTCCTTAAGTTACAGAGTAAAATCCATGCTTCTTAGTCTGGTCTCCTGTGACCTTTCCCCTATCTACCACTTATTCACCTTCTGCCACTCCCTGAGTTTTACATTTTATGGTTCTAACAAGTCCAAACTGCTGTAAGTTCCTGCACACATTATGCTAGCTCTTCCCTTTCCTTTTCAAGCTTTGCTCTTGTATTTCTCTGAATTTTAAATGTTTTTCCAGAACTTATTTGTATAGTGACTATCTCCTCATAGTTCAAAGACCAAGCTCCTCCAATAACCCATTCTTGATTAGTCCCCAAAATATTGGGTTAAAACCCCATTCTCTGTGCTCCCCTAGCATATTGTTATATTTACTGCAGTACACTGACTATTACTTCTTATGGGTCTATCTTCCTTGCTAGGTTACAAGTACATTAGAGTTCAGGGATTGAGCCTAATTTATCTTTGTATCCCCAGTTCCTCATCATAACAGGTTGAATGAAATCAACCTTCTCTGTCTCCCCTGTGTACCAAATGCCATTCTTTGACTCTTCTTGTTGGAACGTAGAGAACACAAAGCTTTGTATAATAATACATTATTATAGACAGCCCCACTTCTGTCTTAAATTGGCAAAGAAGCAGCTTTCTGTTTTCTTCTACCAAGTTGTCAATTAAATTTCACACACGTCTTTTATAGACTATATATTTACCAAAGAAATATAAGTGAGGAAAACATCACCTGCAGCAAAAGTCTTCCCTACAACCTGCAAAGATAACGCCAGTGGCTTCACAACATTCTTATTCCGGGTCAGGTCCTGAGCTCCACTTAAATTGATTGCAGAATTAGCTGGACTGAGAATTGGAGAATCTTTAAAATGAAAGAGGTTGTTCAAATTAGCAGCCATTTAAATATGCAGGAAGAAAGTTAAATAAAAGTGAGATGAGAGAAAGCAGATTATACAATTTCAGTTTTTTCCTTGACCCATTATAGGAAAGTGAATGTTTCTTTTTTCAGGCTTTATTTTCTTTTCTATGTATTTAACAAACACTCACTAGAAGTTACTATGTGCTGGGCACTAGTATAAGCACTTTAAACATATCAATTCACTTAATCCCTATTAAAACTCAATTAGGGCCCTAGCCAGTTTGGCTCAGTGGATAGAGTGTCGACCTGCAGACTGTAGGGTCCCAGGTTTGATTCTGGCCAAGGGGACATGCCCAGGTTGCGGGCTCAATCCCCAGTGGCGGGTGTGCAGGAGTCAGCTGATCAATGATTCTCTCTCATCATTGATATTTCTATCTCTCCCTACCTCTTCCTTCCTCTCTGAAATCAATAAATATATTTTAAAAAAATAAAAAATAAAATTCAATTAGGTAGGTACTACTATTACCTTAAATAGTGAGAGTCGTTTAACTTGATCAAAGGCATATGAGTACAAACCCCAAATCCCTGACTCTCTTCTAGCACAACAGCTTAATCAAAACACACAAGAAAGTCTCAAAGGGGGCTGTTAAAACTCTGAGAGTTTTGGGGAAAAGCACTCTAAAAACCAGGATACTGATGGTGCTACACTAGAAATTACTTAAAAATTAGTATTCATACCACAAAATGATTCCTCAGACATCTAATCAGTGTTTCTCATAAGAATTCAAAAGATTTAAATGGTCCTTGACTGACTCAGAAGAGTTAATGTGCCTCTCTAAGGGCCCGATTCACCACCAGGGAATGGTTTTACAGTCTATTATCCTATATAATAAAAACCTAATATGCTAATTGTCTAGTCGTCTGTTCAAACAATCAAAGCATAATATGCTAAGGCCACTCAACCACTCGCTATGGCGTGCACTGACCACCAGGGGGGCAGACGCTCTGACCAGAAGGTTAGCTTGCTGTTGGGGTCTGGCAGATCAGGACTGAGTGAGATGGGCCAGACACGCCCCAGAACCCTCCCGCTGTCCCTCCCTAGCTGGCCAACCTCTCACATTCCTCCTGAGCCCTGATCATGCACTGGTGGGGTCCCTCGGCCTGGTCTGCATCCTCTCACAATCCGGGACTCCTCAGGGGATGTTGGAGAGCCAGTTCCGGCCTGATCCCACAGGCCAGGCCGAGGGACCCCACTGATGCACGAATTCGTACACCGGGCCTCTAGTATAACATAAAAGAAAATTCAGGAATAGAAACAAACGTGCTAAAATCTCACTTCTCCCACAAACCATTGTCTTTTTCTTTTAGTATATCGCCTTGCACATTTTATCCACATTATATTTCTTGCATCATATAACAAAAATACACAGAATTAATATTTTTTTACTTAACAGAATTATCTCCGATGTGACTGCACAGTGTCATAATTATCTCTTTTGACATCTTTGTTATGTGAATATGCTATGATTTATTCAATTATTTCTATATTAATATTGCTTCTCTTTTTTAGTTACTATAAAGAATAACTGGAATGAATATCTTGACTTTCCTTTTAGGTTATTTTCTTAGCTAAGCCCCTGAAGTTAGATTACTAGAGTAAGGGATATAAATATTTTTAATATTCTTGTTCTGTACTGCCAAACTGCTTTCCTTTTTTTGAAAATATATTTTTATTGATTTCAGAGAGGTAGGGAGAGGGAGAGAGAGAGAAACATCAATGATGAGAGAGAATCATTGATTGGCTGCCACCTGCATGCCCCCTACTGGGGATTGAGCCTGCAACCAGGCATGTACCCTTGACCGGAATCAAACCCAGGACCCTTCAGTCCGCAGGCTGGCACTCTATCCACTGAGCCAAACCAGCTAGGGCTGCCAAATTGCTTTCTTTTTTAAAATATATTTTAATTGATTTCGAGAAAGAGAAAGAGAGAGAAACATGGATCAGTTGCTTCTTACATGCCCCCACTGGGGATCAAGCCTACAACTGGGATATGTGCCCTGACCAGGAATCAAACCAGCAACCTCTTGGTGCATGGAGAACACCCAAACAGAGCCACACTGGCCAGGGCACAAAATGCTTTCTTAAAAGGTTATACCACTGCTCACCTCCACCAGCCTGGTTGAGAATGTCAGTCTTACCATATCCTTGCCAACACTGTATATTATCATTTAAAGTGGTAGCTAATGTAATTAGTAAAAATGATTTTTCATTGTTATTACTTACATTTCTTCATTTCCACAAAGTGGACCATTCTTCCTTATACTTGCTAAATAGTGGTGTTTTCTCTTTTGTGGGGTAAGAGAAATACCACAAGCATATTCGTGGCCCTATCTCACAGGTTTTCTTCCTCTCCCACCCATGCATGCAAATGTTTATTGAGCCTTTTCAGCAGGCCAGGTACCATGCGAGGCTTTGGGGATAGAACAGGGAGAGGAGGCAGATACAACTACTGCCCAAGGAGTTAACAGTATAAAGGAAGAGGCTACATGTTCTCAATGTCTGGTTGGGAGTGGACAAATCTGCCAGCCAAAGGATTCCCACTGCATTTGGAAAAAGGAGACTGTGTTTTGCTAAAGGTTTAATTTGAATATTCATAAGGATCTGTGTTTTTTAAAACCTGTAAAAGGAACTTTTGCTATCCTGACATCAAGGAACATTAGTGGCTAAGGAAGACAGATACAAAGAGGAAAGGGACACATATAGTTAAATGATACATATTAATGGAAACTGCTTTCTAAATGGCTGTCACCAGGGACAGAGGAATTCTACTGGGGCAGGGGAAATAAAGATAAAATAAGAAGACTATGAGAGCAAGGCAGGCCTGGGGTGGTCATGGCACATCATGAAGGACAGACAGAGGGAAACATAAGAGGCAAAGAGAAGCCAAGAGGTTGCAGGGAATGAAAAATACTGAGCACTTAGAAATTTCTATTAGGGTTAGCTCTGCCTTCTCCCTTCTTGAGGAACAAAGTCAGCCGTAAGGCTCCCCACTGCAGCTGGGCTACTGCAGGAACAACCCCACAATAGAATCACCACAGAAGAAAATATAAAAACTCTAAAGGATCAAAACATTATTATTATACCAATAGAGGCCAGATGCATGAAATTCATGCACAGTTAGGGTCCCTAAGCCTGGCTGGCAATCAGGGCTGATTGGGGTCTTCCAGCTGCTGGCCGGGGCCTCCCTTTCCTGGCTGCTGGCTGGGGCCTTCCTTCATTCCGTGCCGCCTCCTGGTGTTTAGTGCTTGTCATAGCGAGCAATATAACTCCCAGTCTCCTGGTCAAACTCCCGTAGGGACATTTTGCATATTAGCATTTTATATATATAGATATCATCCCTGGCCTATGATACAACTTGCTCTCAAAGTGTGAGGACTGCATACAATACATGTGTATAGTTTCAATGAATTTATCTAGCCTTTTTTCCTTATGAGATCAAAATATGGAAGCATACACAAAACATTTATGCATGGTTTCAAGAATTATTATTAAACAAATACCTATGGAACTAACCACCATCCAAGTCAATAAAACAAAACACTGGCACCAGGCTTCTTCATGCTCTTTCCTATCTCTTTCTCTACCTCTCCCCAGAAGTAACCACTGGACTATGTATGTATTCCTAAAATAATTTAGTTTTGCCTGCTTTTGAACATAATAGAAATAAAATAATAATTGATGGACTCTTTTGTGAATGGATTTTCTACTCAACATTATGTTTGTAAGATTCTTCCATTGTGCTATATGTGGCTATTGTTTGTTCATTTTCAATGCCAAATGGTATTTTATTATATAAATACTAGAGGCCCGGTGCACAAAATTTGTGCACTCGGTGTGTGTGGGGGGGTGTTCCTCAGCCTGGTCTGCGTCCTCTCGCAGTCCGGGAGCCCTTGGGGGATGTCCTTAGGCCCGCTTTCCATGAGGAGCGGGCCTTAGCTGGCAGTTGGACATTCTTGGTGCTGCTGCGAAGGTGGGAGAGGCTCCCACCACTGCCGCTGCGCTCGCCAGCTGTGAGCCCAGCTTCTGGCTGGGGTGCTCCCCCTGTGGAAGTACACTGACCACCAGGAGGCAGCTCCTGTGTTTAGCAGATGCCCCCTGGTGGTCAGTGTGCATCATAGTGATCAGTCATTCCGCTGTTCAGTCGATTTGCATATTAGCCTTTTATTATGTAGGCTATCAGAACTTATTTATCCATTCCATTGTTAATGAACATTGATTTATATCCAGTTTGAGTTAATTGTGAAGAACAGTGCTATGAACTGTATTGCACATACTGCTTCATGCACATGTGCAAGGGGGTGGAATAGCTGGATCATAAGATATGCACATTTTCCACTTTACAATGTATTGAAAATTACTTGCAAAGTGGTGGCATCAACTAAATGATATAACGCCTGTTGCTTGAAATTCTTGCCAACATTTACTACTGTCATAGTTAAAATTATTTACCAGTTTGGTATGTGTATAGTGGCATTGCATGGTATTTTTAAAGTAATTTCCCTAATTGCCAAAGTGGTTAATCATCTTTCCATGTATTTATTGGTCAATTGTATTTCCTCATTCATAAAGTGCTTGTGCAAGTCTCATTTTTTCTATTAATGTCTTTTTCTTATTGCTTCATAAACAGTCTTTATATGTTCTTTGTACTAGTCTTTTTTTTCATTTTATGTATTACACATCTAGTTTACAGCTTGATTTTTTTTTTTTACTGTCTTTCTGATGCCATCTAATAATTAGAAGGGGGAATTTTAATGTAGTGAAATATCAGTCTTTTTCTTTATGATCAGCACTTTTTTCTCTACTTTTAAGGTGCCCACAGTATCTAGGATATTCTAAAATATCTTCTTAAAACCTTAACAGTTTTGCCTTTTACATTTAGATCTTTCAGATACCTGGAATTGATTTTTGTGTATAGTGTGAAATAGAGGTCCAGTTCATTCCA